CCCCAGTGTCATGTGACTCATTAGTGTTACAAGGTCTCAGGTGTGAATGGGGAGCAGGTGTGTTAAATTTGGTGTTATCTCTCTCATTCTCTCATACTGGTCACTGGAAGTTCAACATGGCACCTCATGGCAAAGAACTCTCTGAGGATCTGAAAAAAAGAATTGTTGCTCTACATAAAGATGGCCTAGGCCTGAAACTGAGCTGCAGCATGGTGGCCAAGACCATACAGTGGTTTAACAGGACAGGTTCCACTCAGGACAGGCCTCGCCATGGTCGGCCAAAGAAGTTGAGTGCACGTGCTCAGTGTCATATCCAGAGGTTGGCTTTGGGAAATAGACGTATGAGTGCTGCCAGCATTGCTGCAGAGGTTGAAGAGGTGGTGGGTCAGCCTGTCAGTGCTCAGACCATACGACGCACACTGCATCAAATTGGTCTGCAGGGCTGTCGTCCCAGAAGGAAGCCTCTTCTAAAGATGATGCACAAGAAAGCCCGCAAACAGTTTGCTGAAGACAAGCAGACTAAGGACATGGATTAGTGGAATCATGTCCTGTGGTCTGATGAGACCAAGATAAACTTATTTGGTTGAGATGGTGTCACACATGTGTGGCGACAACCAGGTGAGGAGTACAAAGACTGTGTCTTGCCTACAGTCAAGCATGGTGGTGGGAGTGTCATGGTCTGGGGCTGCATGAGTGCTGCCGGCACTGGGGAGCTACAGTTCTTTGAGGGAACCTTGAATGGCAACATGTAGTGTGACATACTGAAGCAGAGCATGATCCCCTCCCTTCGGAGACTGGGTCGCAGGGCAGTATTCCAACATGATAACGACCGCAAACACACCTCCAAGATGACCACTGCCTTGCTAAAGAAGCTGAGGGTAAAGGTGATGGACTGGCCAAGCATGTCTCCCGACCTAAACCCTATTGAGCATCTGTGGGGCATCCTGAAATGGAAGGTGGAGGAGCGCAAGGTCTCTAACATCCACCAGCTCCATGATGTCATCATGGAGGAGTGGAAGAGGAGTCCAGTGGCAACCAGTGAAGCTCTGGTGAACGCCATGCCCAAGAGGGTTAAGGCAGTGCTGGAAAATAATGGTGGCCACACAAAATATTGACACTTTGGGCCCAATTTGGACAGTTTCACTTAGGGGTGTACTCACTTTTGTTGCCAGCAGTTTAGACATTAATGGCTGTGTGTTAAGTTATTTTGAGGGGACAGCAAATTTACACTTTTATACAAGCTGTATATTCACTACTTTACATGGTAGCAAAGTGTCATTTCTTTAGTGTTGTCACATGAAAAGATATAATAAAATATTTACAAAATGTGAGGGGTGTACTCACTTCTGTGATACACTGTATATTATGGCGTTCTTCTTATTAAATTTGTCCACGGAAACATTTTCAGTTGGAGAACTGTATTACATGAAAAAGCCCCCATCATAATTAGCACTTTATCTTATCTTTAGTTCTAAGATACAAGATAAAACATTGAGTTAAAAGCTGTGAATTTTGCAAATTCTGTAATTAGTTTAATACCTTAAATGTGCTATCAGAGAAATATTTCCTTAAAATTATGCTAACTTTTCCAGGAAGATGTGGAAACAGGTGTTCACCTTGATCCAGCTACCAAGGAAGTTCAGTATAACCCAACCTATGACACCATGTTTGCACCTGAGGTAAGCAAACTGATTTAATAAGTATTATTTGTATTTAATGTGAGCTGAGGTTGTTTGATAAAACTTCTGAAATATCCTGTGAATGCTTTGATCATTCATGAAAAATGACTTTAAAAATATAATACCTAGTATATTTAAATACATGTGAAAAATAGTCTTTAGTCCTATAAATATATACATAGGAAAGTCCCATTGAACTCAGTAGGGCTTGCTTCTGAGTAGACATGGGATTGCATTGCCAGTTATTGAAACCACTGCATAAATTGTGATCTGAGGTTCAGAACTAGACAGCCTTATAATGGTCAATTATTTGTATGTACACATACAAAAAAGAGCAGGGCAGTGGATCTGCATAATACGAAATTATAAGTTCAAGTAGCGATGTTTAGAATATTCTGGTGAACTTCTAGGCATACATTCTGTAAACCATGGAACTGAAGCACTTGAAATAATCTCCAGGTCTGGTCAAAATGCTCTGAATATTTCTTTTTTGGCCTAGGAAATTGTACACTAATTAGATAATCATAGATTATTCAAAACTTTATAATTTCATTCCTAGGGGTCATAATGCTTTTTTCCCTCTTGCCATTATGAAATTATACAATAAATGAGTATACTTCGTTCTTTTTCTCAGTGACATGTCAGTTCTGTAAGGGAAGCCAAATTGTATTTCTGAAGGATTCATTGTCAGAACCATGGAAAACAGTCATAAGTAGTTGAAGAAATTTCTGCTGATTGCTCCACTTATTTCATGGCTAGAGAGAGATGAGGATCATTTGTGTGCCATTGTGGTAAAAGAAATAATAAACACTGCTACTTTGTACAAAAATTCTGAAGTACACTGAAATGGACTGCATACAGCATTTGTATATTACACTTTTGCATGTTATTTGTTTTTCTGAATTTGCAAACTTGCCCAAGTATAATCTGATAGATAATACAATTAAGAAAAATAATTAAATTATTATTTTTACATTGGCAATATGTATTGGTATATGAGCAGCTTCTGAGAATTCAGAAAGTATTATAGCCAGTTTTCCATTTGAAATTAACAGATCCTAAAAAGACAGAAACTTTAAGGCACATTGGCTAGTAAAACCACACTGACGTATAGGGGAGAAAAAACTGGATGATAAAGCCTGTCAAATAATTGGACTATTAAAACATTTTAATCTTGAAATTGAATATTCATTATGGAAAAACACCTAAGGGGACAGGCCACCAGCATAAAAATATAATGTATTTAGTTATAATAGAGGGCTGCTGTCAAAACTTAAAATAGGCACTGTCCAAAGCTGATAATTATTTTTTCTAAGCTTGAGGCATTTTTCTACATATAGCCAGTTAGTTATGGCAGTCTGCATTCCCCATGGTAAACCTAATCTGAAACAAGGATATAGCATAAAATAATGCAGTGTTACTAGTTTTTTAAATTATAAAGCTCATGTTTTGGTATAAATATCATTCATGAAGTTTCATCTTGTGTTAAAAGTAGGCGAGACTAACAACAAATAAAAATATAAGGTTGAGTTTTTGAAGTTTATTGAAAATTAGGAAGAGAAATAATGCATGAAAGACATACTCAAAGTATAGCAGTTGTGGCATGACACTATGTTTCTAACAGTTGAGTATGAACTTATTCAATTCTAATAACTCGCTGTGGGTTAGAATGCTATACGTGGCTGTTTGTATCTATGTCATGTCTGTAGTTAATTAATGAGGAGCAGATTATTTTCATCAGATCAGTGGCTGGGCACTCTGCTGCCATATTGTTTCCCCCTTGAATTCTTAGCTTTTATGTCTTCCTTGATATTTTATACAGCAATAGTAGAATGTTTTAAATAAGTCTGGACCTGAAGTCATATCAAAATCTAAAACTACATGGTAGCATCAAAGAATTAATTAAAACATCAAACATTGCAGCAGATACATGTTAGAATCCAAAGCTGTGCAGAGCAGAACTGTACAAACTAGACTCCTTCATATGTGGATTATCCTTTTCATACCCTGAAACTCTTATTTGGATGATTGGGAGCCCTTCTGGACCACTGCTGGAGGTGGCTCTGGAGGATGCCAGGAGGAAGTAGAAATTGGCAAAAATTGCTGCCCCACCTCATTCTTTCAGTGAGGCCCTCTGCTAGATTGTGTCTCCCTCAGTGAATAGAAAGACAAGTCTGGATTCAGCTCATGTTTTCTGAGCTCTAACTGTGGTTGACAATTATGAAGTACTCAACAGATTTACAAGTGCCTTTCTTTTCCCTCTCACAACTTTTTTGCTTCTTTCCTTTTAATCACAGTGTACTGTTCAGACTGCACTGAAGTTAAGGTGGACTTTGGTTAGATTTTCCCAGGGTTTACAAGAGCAACCTCAGCCACAGGCTTAAAGCCGATCCCTGTTAGCTGTAATTGTGGTGCAGATGTAAAGTGACACATCATCAGCAATAAGAAGGCAAGGACATTTCTGGGGCTATGGGCCATTCCCAGTCTCTTAACCAAGTTTAAGGGAATGGAAAATATTGTTTGTACTGGGTCATTCTCCCCCCACCCACTAGTTAAACTTCCTTGATGCTACTACCTTTGGAATAAACCTTTCAAAAGGGAAAAATCATGAAAATGCTTATAGTTGCTTTGTAATCCATTAATGTATTTCTGAGGCATTTGCAGTTCTGCTGTTTTACAAAAGGATGCCTAAAGCGAAGCATGTTGTCTTACTTGAAATCAGTTCTCTTTCTGTTGCAGCTTATTTGGCAGATAATTATCTAGCATGTTGCTTCATGTAGGCTATCTTACTTACAATTGAGGGAGTATATAACATCATTTTGTTGGGGGGGAAAATCACTCATCTCTATTTGCAGCATGTGCACAAATTTGGAAACTATTACAAATTCAGGCCCTCCAGGTGATGGACTACAGCTCCTTATTGTTGCTGACCAGTGGTTGAAGCTGATGGACTTTTAGAGTCCATCAAGATCTGGAGAGTCATTCACAGCTAATCTAATGTGGTTTCTTTACAGAGTAGTGTAGTATAGTAGTTAGAATGTTGGGCTAGAACTGTTGAATCTCAAGCCCAAATGCTAATTCTGTATGAAGGTCACTGGGTAACCTTGGACCATTTCCTTTTTTGACTAATGAGCATCAGAGAACTTAGGCTATTGGGCACTATAGAAAAAAATATTAATAGGGTTGTTGTGGATGTGAGAAAACCATATAACTGTCCTGAATTCCTTGAAGGAGGAGCAGGACAAAAATGTAAAAAGTGCATGGTTTTGTGTATCTTTTAAAGTAAAATGTTATGTGTGAAGTGTCCCTTAAAAGATATTCTTGCAGTTACAATATTATTTTTAATGCAGTTTGGACCAGTGAATCCATTTAGGACTCAACAGATGGCTGCACCCAGGAATATGCTATCTGGATATACAGAACCAGCACACATTAATGATTTCATGTTTGAGCAACAGCGAAGAACGTTTGCAACTTATGGTAAGGTATACATTTCTTCACATTTCAATCCTTGGCAATTTTCAAATCACTGCCTTTGTCTTTGGTTGATCTACTCTGATGTAGTTCCAAATTCTTCGAACCCTCAAATCTTTTGAATGTGTCCTCTTTTTTTGTTATAAATGTTAACTAGTTGAGAAGATTAGAAAAGGAATTGGATTGAGACTATAGTATGCACATGCTATATTCTATTTAGGCCCATCAGTTTTCATGCATGAATCAGCACATAGACAATTGCTACTTTGCAGCCCTTGTTTTTCTGTTAGGGGAACTAGAGGCCATACGTGCCACATACTTATAATAATACCAAAACGGTCAAGAAAGGAAAAACTATGAAGATTTAAATTACCATGTCTCCAGGTAACTTTTATGTTTTTGTTACTCTTGCACTTGCTAAAGTTTCTTGAATGTGAATTTTATTGACAATACCTGGGAGGTGGAAGTTTATTCATTGTGCATTCCTGGTAGCAAATGTATTTATTTACACAACCTTATAACACATCCTGTTTAATTGCTATATGGTAATGTTTATCTTTGTACACCATCTTAAGCAAAGGTATTATACTGGTTTCCATCCAATGTTCAGTATAACTTGAAAATAATCATGCTCCAGTTGTGCCTGAGATTGACTTTCTCCTGTTCAACATATGAGTCATAATGAGACAAGAGTTGTGGCTCTCCTATACGTTACTGATCATACAACATTTGTTCTTCACAACTATGTTTCTTCAGGAGATGTTGCCTTGGGTCCTAGCACTATCGGCATGATCCTAAGTTTATCTAGAAGAAAAATTACTTGATCTGTTCTAATTGTGAAGTATTGCTAGTGAAAGTAAAATAGAACTGTTTTTAAGTCAAGTGGATAACTAGCTCTAACAGTGCTGTACCTTTCATTCTATATTCTTACTTTTATATTATGATTTCATTCCTAACTCCCATAAATACTTTCTTAAACATGATGTTTGCTTATAAGAAAAGCTTGAAAAAGAAAGCTTGAAAAGAAAAAAGAAAGCTTGAAAAAAGTGGCAAACATAATATTTCACAGTTTAATAGCTCTTGAGTTTATTCTGTAGTTGTCTTATATAACAAGGTTAGTAAATAGGATTTTCACATTAAGAGAACTGGTAAACATAGGAATAGGATATCTGCAGAATATTTCTTAATGTTTTAGGAAAAGATTGATACCTAAAAGGATTTTCTATCTATTCAGCAAGCCTTACGTTACTGCCAAAAATCTATGTGGAAGGTAGTTAATTGATCATGGTGAAATGGCTCCAAAAGATGTTCAAGAAAAGCCAAGAAAACAGCTGTGCAAAAAATGAAGATATTGTCCTTTATTCTTTAGCAAAGGGCCCTAGTCAGTGGTAGAGTTCATGTTTTACATGCTGAATACTCAAGCTGCAGCATTTCCAGATAGGGCAGGGAAATGCTCCTGTATGAAAATGTGAGGAGTTCTTGCTAATTAGTTTGAGATAATGTGGTATGGTCTAGTGGTTAAAATTGTGGGATTGGGACTCAGGCAGTCTAGGATCCAGTCCTGCTCAGCCACGGAGCCAACAGGGTGACTTTGGGTCAGTCACAGATTCTCAGCCCAACCGACTTCACAGGTTTGTTGTTGAGAGGGTAAGATTGAGAGCAGCAGCAGGAGAATTATGTAAGATGCTTTGAGTTTGTTGTAAGAAAAAGTGTAAATAAATAAAACTGAACTGGATGTGTCATGGTATAAAACAAGCGTCCTATCTTCTTGACATGTTCTGAAGGCAACTATTTTTCAAGTGATATGCCCTTAAGAAATAAGATAAAGCTATTGGAATGTGTGTATTTCTAGCATCTATTGCAAGATGATGGCTAAAATGGTTGTAAATAATTGTAGTGGATGGGTAGGAATTTGTGCAGAATGTATATATTTGCATATACTGTTCTGAAACATAGATTAGCATCCATAACATGTCTCAGGGAGTAAAATATGCTTGGAAACTGCTCTGGAAACAAACTAATTATTGGTATGATTCCAGCATACTTTTCCCAAATGTTGATATTATAGAGTAGGGATTACAAGGAATTTCTTCCTGCATATCCACAATAAAAGAATTTTGCAAATGCTGGGTTATTTGGAGGACATCTTGCCTGTCTCCAAGAATGCAAGCATCTCTTCACAGGAATGCACCATGCATAAAATGTTGCTAGTATAAGACAAAGGCACCCTTGTTCAGTTACATAAGAATAGTAAAATAAACTAGGATGCTGGCAGCAAGAGACAGCAGGAAATAATAAATTTAGTTCATCAGGAGCCTAGGGTATCTTCCAGGCCAAGCTTTGTAGAGCGCTATTACAGTGTTATAGCTGGTTTTAGCTCTGATGCTAACATAAAACATCACATACAGAAGTAAAAGAAAATAAATCCTCCACCTTTCCCTAAGCACTTTGTTATTTTTGTTTATATGCATTATATCTCATCCTAGAAAGCACATCACTGCATACTTCAACATTCTTTACCTGGTCATCACTACCAGTGTGGTCTAATGGTCAAGAATGTGGGACTGGGACTCAGGTGATTTGGAGTCTGGTTTCCACTCAGCCATGGGGCCAACTGGGTGACTTTGGGGCAGTCACAGACTCTCCACCCAACTTACCTCTCAGGGTAGTTGCTGTGAGGATATGGTTGAAAAGAGGAGAAGCCACCTTGAGTTACTTGGAAGGAAAAAAGCTGGGATATAAATATAATTAATAATTATTCTAACCAGTTGAAGGATGGACATGCCCTCTTGCCCTTTTGCTATGTCAAGCTGCTAAAATCTTTCTTTGTTTTGGAATTCTGTTAGTAAGATCTCTTCTGCAAGAGGTAAAGGAATGCCTTACTGTCACAGATTCTATGAAAGAAGAGAGATACTTGGGAACTGGAGCATTGCTCCTTTTTCATAGATTGCCCAATTATGGAATGTTTCTTGATTGCCTGTTAGCAGAAATTGTACCAACTGAATCACTGGAGTCAGTGTCATGCTGACGCTGGATTGTTCCAGAGTAGGGCTTGGCCTTTGTTTGAATAGACTGTCTCTGTGGTTTCATTTGGAAGGGAACCATTATGCTGTCATTACCAGTGTCATGCTGCACAGTGCTGCTGCATATGAGTCCACATTGCAGTGAAAACATTTATAGAGTGGTTGTCACTGAAAAGAATTGTGTTTATTGGCAGCCACGTGCCTGTGCTGATTGCATTACTGCTACTGTTGGTTTATGTCAAATCTGAAATGAAGGAAAAGAACACTCTTACTTAGTCTTTTGTACTAAGACTTAGACTGCAGTTTCAGAGGACTTGCCTTTTGCTTGTATACCTCCCAAAGGCAATTTAATGTTTGTGTCCACACTGCAAGTAAGATAGTTTTGTTGGACCATGTTGAGTGCAGTGGACATATCTTAAAATACTAAATTCAGGGTTCATCTTTAATTTTGTTCTGTTCTATATCTCTGTGGATGTGGTGGGTTAACTTTAGCATTTCTTATTTATTTAGACCTTTTCATTTGTAATTGTTGCAAGGAAGAACTAAGCTAGAATTAATCACATAAAAAGAGGTCAGTTATAAAACAGCAGGTTCTGCCCTTACAGCTGCATTTGGAAGTCTCTGTCAGAAAGAAAGATAGGAATCTCTTTCACATTCTCAGCATAAAGTAAGAGTTGTTCAAAGTCCTTTTCATAAGGAAAAGATGCTGAACAAAATGCAGTTTGGCTATAGAAAATGCTGCTCCAGTAGAAGATTAAATCTCACCCAGTGGCTCCATTCATGATCACTTGGTTTGAGGGAGCAATAGCTAAACAAATAGACTCGCAAAGACAGCATCTATACAGTGCGAGGACAAATAAGCTGCTGTATTGATTCTGACATACATCCAAATAAGCATTTCTTTCTTATTTAAAGACAAACTGTGAAGCTGAATTCACTGGAAAATTGACTCAGTTACACCATTTAAAGTCTTCATATACACTAAAACTAGATTCCATAATGCTCAGCTTATTGATACAGAATCTGCAGATAAAGGGTGACATAATTCCATGACACTGAAAAGCTGGTCATTGCAAAATACTCCACAGTAGCTCAGCAAGGTATTGGCAAAGATCAACAGGGAAGGATTAGGTGGGTCAGATACAGTACAATGCAGTTGTGTTAAATTGGAGACTTGACTGTGTTTAGTGATTATATCTGTGCCAGGCCACAGAGTCATTCATCTCTGATCTCTGTTGCTTTGAGTCAGAGTATTGCAAATTTAAGGAATACTCTATTTTTATGAACAAGGAAAGATTTCAGGTTTAAGAAACAGACCAGAAATGCTACTAAAACAGTTAACACTTGCTGAAAGCAAAGTTAGATAGACTCTTCTTGTTGATGGACCTTGTGGGATGCTACTTGACTATTAGCTGTCATTGATCCATTTGCATCCAGTAATAGATGGTTTTGATTTTCATAATGCTTACTTGTAGTTTTCTCCATCCAAATTAAAATATTAATACTATTAAAGTAATTATAGGTATACTTCCATTATCTGAATTAAGCTCACAATTTTTTAGGTAATACTGTTTGTATGTATCCACTGGGATATAGACTTTTTATTTCCTAGAACAAGAGTGTTGGTAGTTAGTATCTGTTCCATAGAAATTTTCCATTTATAGTTCTCTTATATGAGAATGAAAAAAAAAATCCAAAGAAGAATGTGTATGGAGAGAACTGAAAGACATTATCTTCTGAAACAATATATTAATAGCATATAATCCAAAGATTGCAGAACGCTTTACCTGTCTCAGAATTCAGTTCTAGTAACAATGTTTATTACTAATATTAATCTTGTTAAAATACTTTTGAACAGATTACATTTCAGCACTGCTCTTGCATGTCTTAGCATGATAGGTAATCAGAACCAAGATTTTGATTGCTTGGAAATCCTGACTTGAAAGACATTATGAACACTGTCTCTGTGGCTGCATTTGCATGACATGGCAATCAGTCATGGGTAGCTAACCATGGTGGGTTGCTGAGTAATCTGAATTTAGACCTTCCTGCAGGATGGATTATTTTGGGGAAAACCTGCAACCCATTACTTCTTCTAGGGGTTGTTGTCCCACAGTGGGTTGTCTGAAGCAAGGAAAGCAATTCTGTTGTGGGTTGTAGAAAGCAACGAATGAGCTGCTTGGTAAGAGCAGCAACTATTCCTTGCCACTCCTTAAAACCTTTTCCATGCTACCATCAGTGGCATCTACACCACCAATACTCAGCACTTTGGAGGAACTGTCATTGGTTCACCACCTTAAAAGAAGAATGGACCCAGAAATATGTGCAGTGTCTTTGTGATTCATTTTAATTTGTCAGTCTTTCCACACAGAACAATAACATAGGTAGAAATTGGTGAGACAAAACTGCATCTAGGCCAAGTTGTGCACTGTTGCAGAGCTGTCAATTGATCCTCAGTAAAGGGAGAAAGGAAGGTGAACTGAAAAGGGATGGCAACGAGATCTCCCTCTTACCAATGTAATCTTCTTGCTTTTGTGTGTTAAATTGACAGTTGTTTGTGGTCTTTGTGCATCACACACATGGGCCCCGCATCTGCATGGAGCCTGTCTCTGAGTAGTTTCTGTAGTTTAGAATATTTTTGGCAGAAATCTCTCCCCCACTCCACAAACACACACACACATCACCAATAACATTACAAAGGGTTCCCATTCATTCCCTCAGTTCTTCAGCCACCATTGTGGTAGCCTTGCGAAGCTAAACTTGTGTCGATAAAATATTTTTGTAGCTCTAGTTGAGTAAAGCTTGTGCTCCTGCCTTCACTTACTTCATTCTTATTTTGCCTGCATTTTTGTCATTATTTATACCCTTTTTATTAGACTTCCTTTGTTTTTGCCTTTCATGAGGTTGTCAGTCCTTAGGCAGCATGGTGCTTTGGAGGCTCCCCCTTAGAAAGTGTGTGCAGTAGGAGCTCCCACCTACTAACATGCACTTTTTGTTTTCTTTGTTTGAGTGTCACATTGTTGAGTATACTGCCAGGCTTTTACAAAGCAAGCCTGAAGGAACAGGGCATACTGTTTGCACCCAGAACTTTGGAATAAGGCCTTTATCTAATGTGTGGTAGATAAATCAAAACAACGGAGAAAGAGCGTCTTTCCACTTCATACTTCGGGTTTCTTCTGTGGTTATGCCTTCACTAGTGAGAGCTCTATTCATGAACCTCCTGTGCCTGGCTGATCTCTTTTTGCCCCCAAAATCTCCTGATGCCTCAAAACCCAAAAGTTACAAGAAGCATTCGAAGAACCACGATTAGATGATTGCTCATTACCATCAGTACTGAATATGCAAGATTTTAATCCCCCCGGTATCATGGCCATATGATTTCAGCAGCCTCCATCTGTGAAAGAGAAATTTGCAATGTATCGCCTCCTGAAAAACTGGTATTGCACCCACATTCAATTTCTCCAATATTACACCATTGGGATGCAATTTCCCTAGTACTGATGCAGCCAGCCTATAACAATCTCAAGCACCTAATTTAGCAGAGAGAGCACTCCCAGTCCCTGGTATTGGATTGAGACAGATGTTCTCAGTGGTCCATTCCTCCAACCTGACGGGACCACTATGATGATTGGAAATATCCTCAGGACTGAGAATATTATTTCAACCTTCAATGCTGTCCGGAGTTTTGCCATCATCTGAACATAATGAAAAGGTATATCTACTCTTGTACAGACCTTGGTCTCTGTGTTGCTAATTACCAGGCTGTGATGGCCCACTCTTGACTCTTCCTGTGGGACAACATTGGTTCCGTTTGTGAGTACCTGCCAAAGGGAGCTAGCCAAGGTCTTCCAAGCAGGGTCTTCTTTTTTCATCAGCAAACCAACACTGTTTGTTTATTCATTCAATTTCTGTACTTCACAATAGTGGAAGCTCTCAGAGCAGTTCACACCAAATTGCCCTCTCCCCTGCAATCCTGTCTTCATTTATACCTATCCTTTTTTCTGCCTGTATGGGAATCAATAGCATCAGATTTTCAGTTCTTTCCATGGGCAAGCAGGGTTATAGGATTAAATTCAACACCTTCCCTCCACTGGTGGAGAAGGGGTTCCCACCAGAAACATTCTTAGCTAAACCTTCCTAAAGAGTGGCTTCACTCAGGCACTTAGCCCTTGTGTGTGAAAGCACAGACGACCACTCAAAGAACAGCAGTTACAGGAAACAGACTTCCCTTTCTTAGTTTTTCAGCATGTTTTTCAACAACATCTTCAGTATTTCTCCAGGTCTGTAGCTATTCCAGAAAGGACTGGTATTAACCCTGCCCCCACTGTTCAGAGCAGTTACTGCTTGTCTACTGCAGTTACCTAGCAGTTATTTTTAAAACACTGAGAAGCAGTTGAATGGGATGAGTGAGTAGGGCTACTTTGTGGGGAGTAAATGTAGTCCATTAGTGCTGACAACCTGTTTGTCCAATCCCATTATTCCACCTCTAAGTTAAAAACAACCCTGTCAAATTTGCAGGGGTTTTTTTCCCCTTTATTTTCTTGTGGGTTGGGAAATATATGCAGATTTTATGACTGGGAAGGAAATGGAGGGGCAATGTGCATTATTTTCCCCTCCATTTAACTCCTAGTCATAAAATCTGTTTATCTGTATATTTTTTCTCTACTTACTTCCCAGCTATGAAATTTGCATATATTTCTGCTCCAAAAGAAATTAAGGCACTAATTTGACAGTTAAAAATCCTGAAAAGTGGTGAACAGGATGGAACAGATGGGGCCCCAGGAGATCTCATATGCTCTGTCAAAATGTCCCCATTCACTCCATCTCAGTTAGCTGCCTTCTCAGGCAGCCTTTGGAACTGTCAGGGAACCTCGGGAAGTACAATGATAAGTTCTTTGAAAAGGTAGAGTGGGAGATAATACCTCTCATTTCTGAAGTAGCTGGAGACCTGGGGAAGTGTCAAAAGTGGGAGGACACTAAGAGCTGTACAGTCAATACTTGAAGATTACGTTGCTGACAAAGAAATCTTGTTGCTACCTCCTTTTTTGGTGCACTTTCCCCCAATTACCAGTGATTTCCGATTGACTGTTCAACAACTGTGCACAAATTAGCCTATGAAGTCACTCCATGTCAATTTCCATCTGTGTTACCAACTGCACTTAGCTCCCTTTGACAGCTGAAACTTGCAAGGACATCACCCAGGCAAGACTACTTGCATCTGGAAGTTGTAAGTGTGTACTTAAGCATCTCCAGAGAACAGCAGAAAAATTATGAACACAAATGCAAAAAACAAAAACAACCCAAACTGCAGGATTTTTGATGCTCTGAAAAAAAGCAGGATAAACAGAAAGGAAGTGGTGATTATAGTGGGGCAGGGGAGAAAACAGCTTCTGCTGCAAAGGATAGTGTAATACCAAGTGGAGGACTAAGGGGGAAGAAGGGAGAGGACAGAGACAGTGAGACCCAATTGTCTGTCGCGTGCAACATGGTTGTTATGTAAACAACCATCTCACTATAGTTTATTGGCAGGGTGGCATAGCTTGTTGCGCAAACCCACCCTTGATGTGCACGCATAAAGGGTTATACATTTCTTGGGCATTTAGAGCTGAAGCACTGTGGTTTCATCTGTATCAGGATTAGGTTATAAGCAAGAAAGTGTATGGGACTTAGGGATGAAATGAAACTCCAGACTTCACAGCAAATGATTCAGCAGTAAACCCTGCATTGTGTTTTTTCAGATCTAAGGGATGTTCAAATTGCCTCTAGTTGTTGTTGTTGCAAAGCACAGATACACTGTCCGCACTTGTCTGTGCCAGCATTGTATAATCTGAGAATAGAAAGTAATGCTTTAAGTTGTACCAGTGAATGTGAAAGGAGCGAGGAACATAAAATTTACTGTCAGTCAAGATTCGAGTCCTATTTCTTAAAATACGATTCTTAGTTTTACTGACTGTTTGAATTCACTGGATTGACCAGAATACCTTTCTTCACTGAGTAGATGATGAAAAATATTTTAGTCATCCTTTTGATGGGAATCAGTGATCTAGTGAGATTTTGATCTTGCAGAAAAACATCCTACTGTTGTCCTTTCGTAAGAGATTATTTGTGCAAAGTGTGGTAAACTCATATTGCTGTATAGTAAGCTCCATAAAAAAGAGTGATAATCTAAAAATTTGTTGTGGTCATACAAACATCAAGAAGACCTTTTTAAAACTGAGCTATCATGGGCATTTTAGGGCACCAGGTGTTCTGAGATTTGGTGGCTAAACCTGGATATATGTCATTAAAAATACTGTGTAGAAGAACAATCTGTAAAAATGTTACTGCTTTCTCCTTCTGCAGGATATGCATTGGATCCCTCAATAGATAATTATGAGGTTCCTACTAAATATATTGGATCTGTTGAAGAAGCTGAAAAGAATCAAGGTATAAAAAAATGAATTATAATCTGTGTTTTTACTTAAATAATGAACAGTTAGTTTAAAATTGGTGCACCAAGAAAAATATTGCATAAAATAGTTTTCTTTTTATAAGTGTATTTTCCTAGTGGATGTAGAAACATTTTGGGTTGCTTAGTGAATGAGATGCTTTTAAGCAACTAATGCTTGGGTATGCAGAGTGACTGCTTCCAGAATGTAGCAGTACTGTGCATGGCGGTAATAGTGTACAGCAGTACATGTTACAGCTGTTATGCAACAGTAAGAACACCTGACTCTTCTTTCCAAAACTGGGTGGAGCTTTCCTGCCAGTATAGGAGTATAGCACAGAACAAAGCATAGTGCAAAGAAAGCAGACCAGTCTGTTGCCTGGTGAGTTCGCAGTTACCATTCCCTTTGCTTGGGTATTTGTTCCTTATTAGATGGGGCATTGAGGAGGTCTGCCCAAGACAAACACACACGTGTGCACATATGCATGCGCAGAGCACAGGTTCTCCTGATTCAGCAGATTATTTCCTGTGTCTGTTTTCTGACAGCACTGACACGATGAAGCAGTTCACCAGGCAAAAGAATACATAGTCATTCTTAAAGAGAATTACTGACTGAAAATTGAAATATAATCTTCTGTTACTGTTCACAGGTCTCACTGTGTTTGAAACAGGACAGAAGAAAATGGAGAAAAGGAAGAAGTTCAAAGAGAATGATGCATCTAATATTGATGGCTTCTTGGGGCCTTGGGCCAAATATGTGGATGAAAAAGATGTTGCAAAACCTTCGGAAGTAAGCATCACTTGCTTCTCCTTTCAAGTGTAATAGCATTAACCGTCCATAATGCTTAGGTTGTGATCCAGGAAACCCCATGTGAGGAAGGCACTTTCTCACATACACTGTAACAGGTTTTCTGGTTTTCCTTTCCAGCTGCAGTTCCTTCTGTTGTACTGAATGCAGCTCTGAGCATTCCCTGATCTTCAGGGTGAGGCACAAGTCTTTTTAAGCCCTACAGAGGGATCTTGAAAATATCCACTGGCAGTTACACAGCAGGTTTACTTGTCTAAACCAAACATCATGACACAATACTGTAAACCCTTCCTATAAATTTAAATAATTCAGCAGTTTTAAAAGTTAACTCTCTAAATTGACATGTATAAAATAAAGAAGGCATCAGCTATAAAAACAGTGATAGACCCAGATGCGAACTTTTGACACTATCTTAAGGCAGTGCAAGCAAAAGAGACAACTCTTCAGAAACATAGTTTTACTGGTATCAGTATATAAAAATCCAATCTTTTCTGTAGAGAATCATAGTATTTCCCTCTGTGTGTGGGGATGATTTATTATATAGGTGTGTGTGTGTGTGTGTGTGTGTGTGTGTGTGTGAGAGAGAGAGAGAGAGAGAGAGAGAGAGAGAGAGAGAGAGAGAGAGAGAGAGAGAGAGAGAATGATAACAAACACTGCTGTAAATCTTTCATGGAGCCATTCTACAAAGACAGTGTGTCATGTTGAACAAAATATTTGTGTAGTAGCACTAGACAGCAGCATTTGTTAGAAAGGAAGTAATATTCTAGCTTTTCTGAAAGGGTTCAGAGAAAGATCTGAAAAAAACTTTCAATCCATGGAAAATTATTTAAATATTAGAGCCAGTGCAGAGTAGTGGTTAAGGGCGTGGGACATAGATTCAGCAACCTGAGTTCTACTTCTTGCTCAGCTGTGAAGCTAACTGGGTGACTTTGGACCAGCCACAGGCTCTCAGCCCAACCTAACTCACAGGGTTGTTGTAGGGATAAGATTGAGAGCATGACAGGGAGAATGATGTAAGCTGCCTTGAGCTCATTGGAAAAAAGTGGGATATAAATCAAATAAATGTGTGATAGCATGGGAACAACTTCAGATAAGCAAATGAACAAAAAACATTGATTTGGTTCCTTACTACACTCCATTTGTGGGAGTATCACCCACCGGGGTTCCCCTCATGGGACACTCCTGTCTATTCCCCTTTTTTCTTCTAACCCTTGCAACTCAAAAATCTGCTCCACACTGTTGGGGTATCCTCTGGAACACTGCGGGGATGGCATAGAAGACTGCAAAGAAGAAGGAAGACCAGTGAGTTTTTGCATCCCCTCACCCCCCGTCCTTTCTTCACTGGGAAGCCTCTGTTGGATTGGAGTCCCTTATGCAGATGGAAGGAATTCTTGTTTTTGGACAAGAGCTCAGAATTCAGCCCATTAGATCTTGGTTTCAGTTGATCTTTATCAAAATTAATCTAATTGTGAAAAAAATGGAAAAGCCATATAGTTGACTTCAGTGCTCTATTCTAAAGCCCCATTGTGCCTTTAATTCCATGTACTGCCCCTTGGATCCAGGCCTTAGCCTAAATTGAACTCAATGTATGGAACACTTTGGAGTGTTCAAGGCACTGCCTATAATCTTGCAATAACTCTATCAGATAGGTCAATATTATCTCTAACACAAATGGAACGTTGATGTTGAGAGAAGGTAGCTTTTCACGGCCAGCTTAGTGACACTGTAGCTAAGACAAAATTAGAGCTCCAGCACAACTTTCAGCCACTAACTAAGAATCAGCACTCTAGATAGGAGTTTCTCTGCTTTGAGCCCCATTCAGTGTGACAATTTGCAATTCTTTCAACAGACACACACACACTCAAACACACACACACAGCTTTCTCTACAGTGCCCCATCTCAATCAGTAAAAGCCAAATGGAGGTGTAGTGAGTAATGCTCCCATCTTTGCAGCAAGGTGTGTATCATACTGTAGTGAGGTGACACATGCAAATCTCACCTGTATATCTGTAGTCAACTAATTGGTGAAGTAAGCTCCGGCTTCTCACCTTAAAAAACCAAAACAGCCCATGAACACTTACAAGCAAAATGTTTCGAATCTCTGTTGGGAGGGTGCAAGTCTGCAAGTACAGATTACTGTTGCATATGAGCTGCTGCAGGTAATGATGACAACGTTTATATCCTGTCTTTTTTCCTCTTGTGAGGAAAGAGGAAAAATTTATCCTCAAAACAATAACCCTGTGAAGGATGGGATTAGAACCATTTTTCCAATTAAGGTCTTCTGCTTGTGTGTGGACGGTGGTCTTTTGATTTTGTAAAGATTGGCACTTGAAAATTGGGATGCATTAGGATATGTGATCTCTGGAATTTATTTTATGAAAATTTGTTTCACATTAAAATTTGCACAAGTTTTGAAATCCATTTTGTAAGGTATCCTTTTTCTAAAGAGAATGCTTTTGTAAGTGAACTCAGTGAAAACTCATTGTTACCGATTTTGTTAAATAAGAATAGTGTTTCTTACTATTTGGATTACATAGGAAGAGCAAAGGGAACTGGATGAAATAACAGCAAAGAGGCAAAAGAAAGGCAAACATGAAGATGATAAACCTGGAGAAGAAAAGACAATTTTGCATGGTAAGTGGTGTTTGAAAAACTGATTTGTATTTCCTTCATCTACTTTCCAAAGAAGATCATTGAAGATAATGTTGTATGTTGTGATTTATTTGCTGTGCCAATAATTCTTACAGCTTACAATGTAGGAAGAAACAAAATCTTGTAAAGGAAACATAGTTCCAGAAATATCAAATGGCAGAGTGTCCAGTAGAAAAGAAGCTTAGAAAGAGACTGATTTTGTCTTTTCTGGTAACTGAGGCAAGAAATGTAGGATGCAGTTAAATTTAGATTGTAGGCAGACTAGGAACACTGTGGAAATGTCATTTGCTTGTATATTCATCTGAAATGTCAGTTTCTTGATTTTAATTTGGCACCCTCCTTTGGCTGCCATTTCCGCCACATAAAACTTAATTGTTAGATTTTTTACTTATGTTGGTGGTTAGACCTATCGTTCCATGTCATTTTTAGTATTAAAGGTTTGTTGACTTCATTGTGACGAAGTGGTAGTTATTGTAAAAGTTTCACTGCTGCTGTGAAAAGAGTTTGTAGTGATAATGAAGATTCTTTGCTGTTTCCTATCCCTTCATCATAAGTTGAGCCCACTTCAACTCTCCCTCCCCTTTTCCTGCTATCACTACAATATATCATTGTCCTCAGTATCATACATATGATGAGGCTTTGTTCTCTGAATCTTCATTTTACACAACCTGTTCCTTACACTCAAAAATGTAACATTACAAATAAGCTTTGGCATTTGATGTTGAATGTAGCAGATGCTTTTAATGTACTTGCCACTATGGGGTATCTTCAAACACACATGGGTTTTCAAGCTTTTGTACTTACAGCTGTCTTGATGCTGTTGTACATGACACATTCTAAATCTGCATTTTCTATTTTTGCATGTCTTCTTTCTCAGTCAAAGAAATGTATGACTATCAAGGGAGATCCTATCTTCATGTTCCTCAGGATGTCGGAGTTAACCTCCGTTCAGCAGTACCTCCGGAGAAATGTTATCTTCCTAAGAAACAAATCCATGTGTGGTCTGGTCATACAAAGGTAAGGGACAGTTGCAAATTCAGTTTTCCTTCCCTGTTTCATGAGATACATACTTGGCTGTTAATTGATCTTTTGATTTATTATAACTATGGGCCCAGATGCTTCCAAATTTTTTGTGCATTTCAGAAGCTGGTCTTGCACAAGTTGTAGCACAATATGTGCCTGCTTGCACTAAAGATAGTACTTTGAGTGAGTTTATCTCACCTTTCTAGCCCACTATACAGCAGTTGTAAACATTATTCCTTGTAAGCTGCTCTTACAGCTATTGGTCAGAGGCCCAGTTCAGGAAGAGGATTCATATGTGGACCTCTGTGTTATGTGTTCAAACTCTGATGATGTCTACAATTTGTACAATATTTACAACACTTTCCTGTATGCAATTCTATTTTCCGTATGTCTGGAAGAGTTCAAAGCAAATTTCAAGCTGTATTCCCTTAATCCAGGAGTAATGAACTTCTTTAAATTCCAAGGGCCAAATTCAGTTTTGGAGCCACTCTTGTTGGGTTGTATTTGTGGGGAGGGGCACACACACTAGCATATTGGAGCTGAAAGTGTGAGTAACTAAGCTTTAGGTGAGACATTTCTAGCTTTTATGATGGGAGGAAAACTGCACAAAAACTATCAGTGTTTGGGGAGATAGAGTGCAACCATCTGATGAACATCAGAGAGGCCAGATTGTCACCTCTGATTTGGTTTTCAGGCCTGAGGTACCCTACTTCTGCCTTAATCCATATTTGGGCAGGCATTTCTTGCAGCACAACAGGTTCTTTGAGAGGTGTTTTTTGCACCCAGTCTGGGTCCACAAGTGCAGAAGCACCCTCCCCACAACAAAAATATAACGCATATATGTGATTATATGCTATGGGGCCAGCATTTTTCAGATACAAAGCTGTTGGTTGTAGTCAGTGGTGGTGTTCTGCCAGCAGAAGGGAAATTTCCAGAATGGCATCGTCTCCACCCCGTGTGCCCCCCAAATCTGCTCTGGAAGGGTGTAGGCCCTACAGAACAGATTTTGTGGTGTCTGATAAAGCTACAGGAGGGAAAAGAAGACAGGGAAATCATGTTGCAGATGCAGAAGTGTTGTTATGAATGAGCAGACCTTCATTCACATGGCTTTATATCCAAGCTTTTATGTTGGTCCAGCAATTTGTTGCAGTTATTTCTCTTGCCACTGAAAAGACTCCTCCACAGCAGAGACATAAATGGGCTGCACATTATCTTAATTCTCACCTATGGTTTAGAGTTCTGGTGTCATTAGCCACACATTAATATTGTTTTGTTAATGATGTGTGAGAAGCCTTAACTATATTCAGAACTGTGAATATTTAATTTTGCAGCCTATGTAGGCCATCATTCTTTTCCCCATTAAGTGTGACCCTCATTATGTAAAAATGTAAAATGATTCTCCTGAGAACTTGGGTTATACTTTCTTTTTAGGCAGAGTTCTACTCATGATACAACCACTTGAATCCCATGATAGGCTATTTTCCCAGTCTTAGTCTCCTGGTTATAATTCATGGTCACAGAATCCTTGTTAGTGAATTCTGCTGTCTTTTTCCTTATTTATACAGAAGTCATTTCTACATTTGGCTTCAATAGTGTTCATTCTACAGTTTATCAGTTTGCAAGAGACTTCCAAAAATTTCCACAATTACATGTACCTGCCCAGACTGTCAACAGATCAATCTGTTGGTCAGTCTGCCCAGACTTTCAGGAGTGCTACAGAACTTCATATGGGGTGGGGGGTTCCCAACCACTACCTAGAGATGCCAGGAAATGAACTTTATTATGCAAATCATGTGTTCTTCCACTGAGTCCTTCCCCACCAGCACCAAGAAACTGCCATGGTACAGTTTTTTCCCCAGTAGTGGCATTCCTCAAATCTTAACATAGCAGGCAACAGGCCTTCCTCTTGGTTTGGAGCACAGCTCCCAGAATCCCATGCTAAGGCTTGTGGGAGTTTTAGCCCAATATGTCTGGGGGTTTCCTACCCCTGGTTAGCAGATGCCTTTATACTTGTAATGAAGAGCATAAACAAATAGCAAGGTGTTACAGGGATGGCATCAGGAAGGCTAAAGCAGGATGAAAGACATGAGAGAGAGAAGGGTGTCCAGCTACTTAAAGTGGATGGCAGTTTGGTAATAGATGACAAGGAAAAGGCAGAGGCACTCGATTCCTACTTTGCCTCAGTCTTCTCCCATAAGAAAACCAAGAGGAAGCACAAGCTGAAAGTGAGAGATGGCAGCCCAGAATTGACAGACAAATGGTCAAGGAATACCTAGATGGGATAAACATGTTCAAATCTCCAGGGCCTGATGAACTCCATCCCAGAGTCATAAAAGAGCTAGTGGAGGAACTCTCAGAACCACTGGCTATTATCTTCAATAAAACTTGGAAAACAGAAGTGCCAGATGACTGGAGAAGGACTAACGTCGTCCCTACCTTCAAAAAGTGGGGAAAAGATGAACCTGGAAACTACAGACCAGTTAATCTGACATCAATCCTAGGAAAAAAAGCTGGAACAAATTATTTAAAAATCTGTCTGCAAGTATCTTGAAGAAAATGCAGTGCTTAATAGAAGCCAACATGGATTTATCAGAAATAAATCCTGTCAGACTGAATTAATCTGAAGATCCAGGGTAATCTCAATAAACTTGAACACTGCGCTGAAAGCAAGAGAATGGGTTTCGATAAGGACAAGTTCTCCACCTAGGAAAAAGAAACTGAATACATTGATATAAGATGGGGAATATGTGGTTCAACAGAACTGAAAAAGATCTTGGAGTAATTGTTGGCTAAATATGAGGCAATAATGTGATGCCACTGCCAAAAGGGCAGATGCCATTTTGGGATGCATTAACAGAAGTATTACTTCCAAATCATGAGAAGTAGTAGGTACCCTATACTCCTCACTAGTCAGACCTCATCTGGAATGCTGTGTCCAGTTCTGGGCACCATGATTTAAGATGCAAAAAAATTAGAAAGGGTCCAGAGGAGGGCAGCAAAAATGATCCAGGGTTTGGAAACACTGTCCTGTGAGGAGAGACTGAGAGAACTGAGCATGTTCAGTCTTGAGAAGAGAAGACCGAACGGGGATATGATAACCCTCTATAAGAACCTCAGAGGCTGTTACAAAGAGGAAGGGCAGGATCTCTTCTTGCTGATACCAGAGTGTAGGGCATGGAATAATCAATTCAAGTTGTGACAACCCAGATTCAGGCTAGATATCAGGAAAAGCTTCCTCAGTGTCAGAGCAATACAACTGTGGAACCAGCTGCCTAGAGAGGTGGTGGGCTCTCCCACACGACACATTCAAAAAGAAACTGGACAGCCATCTGAGTGGGAAGATGTAACATGATGTCCTGCAACAGCAGGGGGTTGGACCCAATGTCCTTCATGGCCCCTTCCAACTACTATTCTGTGATTCTAAGTTAGAGACATGTGTTCATATAAAGTACTTACTTTGGATGCCACTGGCTGGCAAACAAACCCAAAGCTGTGGACAAAGTTACAATTGAAATTACCTTTGGTTCAGTTGGATTTTGGATTATCTGCTTAGTAACTGCAGACTCCTCTGGATGTTGAATAAGGCAATATTTGCCAGAGATAAACTATGGAGGTAAATCTATACCCTTAAAAAGGACAGCTGTTCTTCAGAGGTCAGAATAAAAACCTGTAATCTCAAAAGTCAGGTGGAGGAGGGAGTTCACATTTGGGAAAGGAATGATGATGCAGTCATTCCAAACCCAGTGTATGTGTTTCCTTGTAACAGATCCTGCAGGCAGATTATGGTACTATAATACCAATATCAGTTGGTTCAGCAATGGGAATTGTTGCTCTGCCTGAGAGGCTAAGTTATAAATGTCATTGGCAGCCACCAGGTAGTGATGAAATTCTTTTACATGCCTTTGTATAAGCAAGCTGGGAAAGAACCATGTTTTAGTAATCCAATTATGCTTTTATTTGAAGGGTGTCAGTGCTGTCAGGCTTTTTCCTCTTTCTGGCCACCTCCTGTTGTCTTCCTCCATGGACTGTAAAATTAAGGTGAGTTTCTTCAAAGATACTCTATTGTTGCTTGCACACATTAGATTCTTAACAAAATGTATGTGGATATGCCTCCCCTTTAATGATAACATGAAGGAAAATGCAGTTGCTGTTGGTTTTTATTGTGCTAAAATGATATATAGGATTATAGCATTTAAAGACTTCTGAATTACATGTTCAACATGAAACAAATATAGTAACCTTTCTTGTTTAAACCATCATCTAGTCACATATTTAGTGCTTCTTGCAGGTGGCGCAGTGGTTTAAACCACTGTGCTGCTGGGCTGGTAGATCGAAAGGTTGCCGGTTCGAATCTGCACAACGGGGTGAGTTCCTCTTGCTCTGTCCCAGCTCCTGCCAACCTTGCAGTTTGACAGCATGCAAATGCAAGTAGATAAAAAGGTACCACTTTGGTGGGCAGGTAACAGCGTTCCGTGCACTTTGGTGTTTAGTCATGCCGGCCACATGACCACGGAGACTGTCTGTGGACAAACGCTGGCTCTCTCTGCTAGGAAACAGAGATGAGCATCGCCCCCTAGAGTCAGGCATGACTGGACTTAATGTCAAGGGGAAACCTTTACCTTTGACCTTTATAATTGGTATAGCAATTATACAGTGTATGTCACATAGAAATTCTAAAAGGTAAAAGCTAGCTGTTCTTTGACTCATGGCATTTACCTAATCTATGGAGGTGAATCTTATGTTCTGGTAATCTCTTAAATTTTATTTTGCCAGTTTGCATAATGGCAAATAAAAATATATCCAGTTCAAATTGATTGCTGTCATCAGTTCAGCTACACTGACGTTTTCTCCGGGCAGACACTTGGTAGGGAGACGGACGGACGCCTGTCTCTCCACAACAGAGAGGGGTTGCAGCATGGGCATGATGCTCCATGGCATCTAAAATAAGATGCAAGACTTACTGTGGGGATGTATTTATGTGATGCTTCCACTTCCAAAAATATTTTGCAGCCTTTGCATGGAATATGCACCTCACATGTTATTTTGTGTGAGGTGGAATAGAAAGATGTACATGGGGGCACATCTTTCACATTCCCTACAGTTTTTGATGGATTAACCCAGTTTGTACAATGCCAACAATTCTAGGCCCTTTGTTCCTGAATAACCAAAGTTCTAGGTTTGGAGTTTGTATAAACAACCCAGCAACAGAGTTTCCCTGGGTGGGTTTTTTTGTTTTTTTTTGCAGTGGAAGCAGGTGGGCACACATGCTCATGTACGCTGCATTTCCAACAGTAAACAAGTATCTGCTGCATTAACTGTGGATTGATGGTAGCATGCAAACCAGGTCGGTGTGTACTTTAGAGCTCCATGGAATCGATCCCTTTAGCATTTGCAGACTTCCTCTCATGCTTGGCCTGGGCTTAAAAAGTGAGCAGAGCCAAGAGGAAATCTGCGGACGCTTGCAGAATAAAGTTTGCTGAACCAAGAACCTTCTTGCACATCACATGCAGCAGCACAAAGGCAGAAGAGGGATTGCTGCTTCACAGTATACAGGGCTCAATCCTGGTGAGTGCCACCTGAACACTGGGTGCACTAGCCAGGAACTTGGACGCATGGTTGTGTCAAAGCAGAGCACTTTGGCTATGGGGCAGTATAGAAATGAAAAAAATGATCTGAGCCCAGGGAGTTCAGTGGATTCCTACCTGTAAAGCAGATCCCTTGCATGTCAAGTATACCTTAAATCTGTTGCTTTGCAATATGTAAATTACGTCTTTAACCATCATCACTCTAGCTGAACTCATTCAGCAAGTGTGCTATGGCTTTTCCCTTAGCAGACTGGGAATGCTGCTTGGGTCTTGAATTTCCGTACTTCTCTATGTGGGCTTCAAACATTTTGTGGGTGAATTTTGTGCTAAATTGTCTTGTAATTCTGTTGAGATTAATAGAGACACTCTATGGCAAAATATTTGATTAATTGCATTGTTTGCATAGACAGTATCATGACATTTATTTTCCCCTCCCCTCAGCTCTGGGAAGTATATGGTGAACGAAGATGCTTACGAACTTTCATTGGTAATTTTTTTAAAAAATGAGTAATTTATAAAATATGTTCATTTCTTCAAATGCAAATTGGATGCTTTATGTAGTAATGTACCAGATAGTAATGTTTATGAAATGAATCATCATTGGATGTCATGAATACATCTAGTTATTGAGCATGAAAGTGCAAAGTCCCTTGGCTGCTGTAACAGGATTAGGAGGGAGGGGCATGTTGAAGGTGTAAAACTCGTGAGGAGGCAAGCTCAGCCAGCAGGTCCTTTTATTTATAGCTTACAAAACGCTTGTGTGGGCCCAGTCAAGTACTTTAGGAAAGGAAGGGAGAAGAGGGTCTTAGGTTTGGGATCAGCTTTTCACATAAGCAACAGCTTCTTACTATAATTGATGCTACTTGAGAACAACTTTCTTATGAAGCACCCTGTATCATAGAGGACCTGTCCTGCTTGAATAATGGACTGTATTTAAAAGCCTTCTCTTCAAATCTGCTGCAAGGGGAAGGGGGGTGATGTGCTCACAACAGATGAGGGAAATATGGCCTGGAGGTTCCCCATCCCTGTTGTCAACTATTACTTGTGATACCTCCTGCAATAATGACCACTGGGCAGCTATCCATGAAGCAAAAATAGCACTCTCCTTATGCTTATTAAAGTTGTAAAACCAGACGCACAACTATATATGCTTTCACTGAAACAAAATGGGTGCACAGAGCTGAGGTCAGAAGGAAAGAGCTACGGCTGCATTTTGTAGGCTTGATGGATGTATGGAGTTATTTTACTGCTGGGTACAGGATTTTTCCCTGGCAGCTTAGCTGGCAAAACATTGAGTAGGTGAGCGGCAAGCAAAGCCGGCTTCCTTGGGAAGCACCATTTTGAGGCATGTAAAGGCTCTTTGTAGAGGGAGGGGGAGAGACATGACCTACCTCTAGGTGGATATTTCCCAGCCATTGCCTGCCTTCCCCTTGTTTTCTCTGCTTTAAATGTTTTCCAATATAAACAAAACAGGTATTATGACCCATCTAACAGCACTGTGTCAAATAACTCTCATTTTGACTTGAGCTGCATATTTACTGAAAAAAATCTTTGTTTTTCAAAAAAATGATGTTTTTTTCCTTATAACCAAGAGCAGTTAAAGATGACAAGAGACCTTTAGATTTGTGAACTACTTTACTGTCTTCAACACATTTCCCATGCAGTAATGTTTCAAAAGGAAGTGGAAGCCATTCTTAAATGTAGGCTACATGAATAACATCCAGAAGTTATTGCCGTGGCCTTTCATTCTCTAGTTTCTGAAACATGAAGAACTTGCAAAATGGTTAAACCTCTGCTCAAAATAGAACTTCCATAGCATTCTTCATATTTTCAGAACTTTTCATCCACCAGATTTGATGGACAAGCTGATCTGTTAAGGACAGTCCATGTGAGAATCTATGTATGTATCTGTTGTTTGAAAACCACATGTGCAAAAGGGTGGACTGTGATTTAGCTGATGTTCTTTACTTTGGCAGGGGAAGATGGGATGGCAGTTGATTGAATCCCTGTCCAGACAGTCATCCTGGCTAATGGGCAGGGTAGAATTTTAATCAAATAAATACATAAATAAATATCCTCCTTCCTTTCTAGATAAACTGTGTCAGGGGATGTTTGTAGACCATGGAATACCTAAAATGATAACATTCTGGTTCCATATCCTACTAATCACATAAATGTTATCCTGTAGGGCACAGTAAAGCTGTTCGAGATATATGCTTTAACAATGCTGGAAACCAGTTTCTGAGTGCTGCCTACGACCGCTATCTTAAGCTCTGGGACACTGAAACAGGTAGATATATAGATTTAGATGGACAAATACCTATATACAGACATGTTAGATAGACATTCTATCTTTTTTCATATTTGTATTCTGTAAATGAAAAATGTGACTGTTAACCCTGGTGTGCTAATAAGGCTCCCAAAGTGTTATAGATAATAAAAAATTAATTTTTGGTTACATTGGAAATAGTTCTGAAACATGTTTGGTTCAAGAGTGGAAGCCATCAGTCATATCAGTAATAAAGGCATATTAATTAGAAATGGGAAGGGGCCAAAGCTCCATGGTAAACCACATGCCTTGCATTCAGTAAGGCCTGTGGCAACTCCAGGTACAGCTGGGAAAGCGTTCCATCTAAATCATGGAGAGTCCACTTTCAGTCAGTATGGACCGGTGGGTTCGCAGAGTACAGGACTCCATTGTGGGTAACTAGCCCCAGCGGATTGACATAGCATTCCCACCAAAACGGTTCCTGCAAGGTGGTGTGCTCAGTGGCAGCAAGTCATCCCGGCAGCTTATGGCTTGGTCTAGGAGTTGTTGAACTCACACTGGATCGGCATGTCATGTTTGTTTCTTTCAACATATCTAGCAAACTTGAGGTAAGGAGGGCAGGGGAGACAGAATCACACAGAGTTCATATCCCCCAAAATGTTCAAATTGGCTAGACTAAATGAAAAGAAGAAGCTTTTCACCTGCCAAAAGAAAGTGCTCACAAAAAGTGGGGGAGGGGATGACAATCTCTCCTTTTTGGAGTACACAGAAACTCAGGAAAAGGTGGAAGGGACTGAAAACAGTCAGGGTAGCACTAAAGATAAATTAGGGAATCACACCTGAAAGGGAAGATGCACTTGCCACTCTCTTTCAGGGAAAAAACCCCTTGCCCTTTACTTTTCAATGGACAGCTCAGATTCAGCTTATTCTGCACATATTTACAATTCAGGATATTTTCTCGCCAATTACTGTTTTAGATTGAGGCTGATTTATTTATCAAAATATTATCCTATAGTATGATTCCACAGAAGCTTTAGGAATTTACTGCAATGTGTAGATAAAGTGGAAAACAAGTTTATGATAGGGCAAAAACCTGAATTTCTATTTTTCTCTCTAGGACAGTGTATTTCAAGATTTACCAACAGAAAAGTTCCTTATTGTGTAAAATTCAATCCAGATGAAGATAAGCAGAATCTTTTTGTAGCAGGAATGTCAGATAAGAAAATTGTACAGGTACACTAAACTTTCATCTTTCTCCCAAAAACTAGTATAGAAACAACTGAATTTCTCATTGAACTAGATATAGTTGCAATAGTAATGCTATTTTCATTAGCCTTGTTTTTATAGTGTTTTAAAGTGCATACTAGTATACTTGTTTTGCTGTTCCAGAAAATTTGCAAAATACTGTGCATTGAGTTTTGAGTTTTTTAAAAATTTTAAAGAAAGTATTCAAACTTGCCTTATCCTGCAGTGGGATATTCGAAGTGGAGAAATTGTGCAGGAATATGATAGACATTTGGGAGCTGTCAACACCATTGTATTTGTAGATGAAAACAGAAGATTTGTGAGTACATCTGATGACAAGAGTTTAAGAGTCTGGGAATGGTAAGTGAAAGCTTGAAGGTGCGAGACAGCAATTGGGCAGGAAGGACAAGGCAGGACTAGTGAACTGCACTGCTCGTTTTATATTTTCTTCTTCGATAAATTCATGATGCCAGTTAGATGTTTACTTTATTAGACTCCTCTCCTATGAGAGCTGGTACAGATGTAACAAGTAAGGTTTGGGAGCAGGCCTTAGGATTAGCCGATCTCATTCTGGTTCTTTTAAACGTTGTTGTTGTTGTTATTACAAACATTTGTATCCTGTCCTTCCTACAAGCGCTCAGGACAGCTTACGCAGCATAGTTGGTGATGGTAAGGTAGAATGCCCACCCTGGATTAAAAAACGGGATTGCTGTTGTTGATACATATCCCACCTTTTCCTCTTGTGAGAAGCCCAAGTCAGCTTATATGGCTCTGTTTTACCATCACATTTACAACCCTGTGAGGTAGGTTGGGCTGAGAGGGAGGAACTGGCCCAAAGCCACCCAGTGAGTTTCATGGAAGAGTGGGTTTGGGGGACTAGAACCCAGATTTCCAGTCGAACACTCCTAACCACCACAACACACTGGCTCCTAATTGTGGATGTATGGAATCCATGGCATGCTTCTTCAACCTTGGTTGGCTGGTGTGTTTGGAGGGGTCACAAGATGAACCCTGGCAGAATCACAACTTATCCGTAATAAAAGGGAACATTTCAAAGCAAAAAACAATGGAGAAATACGGCAAAGTGGTGGGAAAGTGGATTTTCCAGTATCGTACTGGTTCTACTTCCAGATGGTGGCTCATTCAATAAATGCCAAGGGGCCTTCACTACCAGCTGAGAGACTAGGATAATCAGGACAAAGACAACTGTTGGCTTGCCAGATCTCTGGTAAAAAGTTCAGAACCATTGCATTACAAGTGGCCTGGGTATTAGTTTGCTATTGACTTTGAGGAAAGAGCACCACCTACTGGCTCATCAGTACCATTTGCTGACACTTAATGGCCATTCTTTGTTTTACATGCAAGCTGTAACATGAAGAATGGGGTAGATGTAGGCGGGTATATTTAAGTAGGCATTTTGACCAATGATTTTAAATGTGAAATGCTTTGAAGTTCAGAATAGCAGAATGTTTGATACAGGGATAAGAGATCAATTAAATACTTGGCCTAAAATGAATACCGCAAATGTAGATTTGCTTTGGGGGCCTTGTTTTTTCAAAATAAAGTCATTTACTTTTTCTGAATTGGGTAGGATTCTATTAATGATGTGCTGGAGTTGAAGTAAGGAAATGAAAACCATGCACTGAATGACCCTACCATGATAAGCAAATGAGTGCACAACATTGTATGTTGTCTTGTTTAGCTTCTTAAAAGTCGTAGTGAATTTTTAAAAGCATTCCCACCTTGCAGCAAGCCAAAAGTGATGGAAGTAGAATCTGATTGCCTTGAATTTGTATATTCACATAGTTACATGAACACAATTAAGCAGCAATTAACTTTCATGAGAAGACTTATGCTCCATCTGATGCATTGTTAATTTGATGTATGTAAATATTATGGAGGTTAATATAACAGTTTAATGAATGTTTTCTGTACTGTTAAGTCTTTACTGACATCCACTGGAGCTGGTGAGATTTGTGCCAGTAGTTGCAATTCAAGAGTTTCCAGAGAGCATCTAGTTAACCAAAATTAAACTATTAGGTGCCTAGGCCAGACTCACGGAGTGAAACAATTCTAGTAGGAAATACAAATATGCACATCACCCAGATGATCTTCTCGTCAGCTTCTTCTCAGAGCTTCACCCAGTTCCCCAGCAAAGAAAAACTCTAATCTTTGATCAGCTGCTGGTGAAGAAGAGCTATTCCCCTCCAGGAAGAGGGAGCAAGACCTGGGTAGGAAACAGATGAGTAGTTCAATTCCAGTTAATTCCAAGACTTGTCCATCAGAGGTTTGACCTGGTTACTTGAGAGAATAAGCACTGCTCATTGTAAGAGGCTTGGTGTTTGCAATGGTATCTGAAAAGTGATTTAGTCCTGCATATTCTGGAAAAGGAAAAATTTCTCCACTGTAGAGCAGTCACTAGATGTGGCCCTCTGTTATGCACCCCTGGTTTGTATTGAAGTGGTAGCTGTCCAGCCATTTTAGACAAACTATAATGACAGCATTAAACAAATACTCTTTAAGAAGATGGTTTAGGGTCAGTTTGGATGCTCCTCCCCACTATGGATACAAAATAATACCTGTACCAGGCTGTTTTAAGTGCAGGATTTCCCTTACCTTTTGATATCCAACCATTGCCCAGGATAAGGGAATTTTTATGAAATTCTCTTGATTCAGCAGCAACACACAGTAAAGAATGGAGGAAAAGAAGCCAATATGAGATGATGTTGTTTCTACACAGCCCAGCAGCCAAAGCTGTCTGGGTGGTTTACAATAACAGACAAAATATAATATAAAACATGGACAGAAATAAACATCAACATCCTGTTTGATATTTGAAGCCAGTATCTCCTGCTGCACTACTTAGACTGAATCCCTTTTTATTCATTACTTCCCTGGAAGAAATCTCAACTCAGTACAGCTTTGGGGGTGTGTACTCACTCAGCCTTATCCATTACCATGGGAAAAAACTCATGACTGAACAGACTATGTTAACTTGAATGAAGTGTCTCACTGACCACTAGATCTCTTCCTGGCAAGAAATAATTTTTTAATGAAACATTCAGGGATGCAGAATGTTCAGATAACCAGGACGTGCCACTCCTTTTTCTCCTCAGAGAGAGAGGCAGAGTTGGGTGCTGAAGATACAATAATGACTGAGATTTTGGAAAGGAAAAGGGATTGAATGGATTCCAACTGGTGCCTGGAATATCAAGAAACAAGACAATTTTGAATGCTGCATTTTTCTTTCTGAAAATACCAGTGTGTACTGCTGTGCAAACTATCAATTACACAATACTATAATCATTCTCAGTACCCTTAAGAGCTTAGAAATTGAAATTAATGCTTGGGATGGGATAAGCAAAGGATGTTTTAATAGAGATCAAGGGTAGAGTTACTCATGCCCCAACAGTCTTACTAAATCTTCTGCATTTGTTCATGTGTCCACCTATGCTTGATAGTGAGATGCCCTGATGCAATGTGTGGTCATTGGTAGCGTTGTTGCATGGAGTTGAATACCCTTAAGGGTATTGAGAGTGCACAAGCAACAGTCCCAGGAAATAATAAGAGCTCACATGATGGATTGGAGCAAGACCTGCAAATAGTGTTGCATGCTTGATTTTGAAATGTCTGCTGAGTGCAGAAAATGGAAGACAGTGGAGGCATGAGTGAAATTTAACAGCTTTATCCCTATAAAATGTTAGAATTCAAACAGACTAATGCCCTTCCTTTTCCCTCCCTCCCTCCCTCCCTTCGTGTTTTCAACAGTTATCCTCAATGCTTCAGGGATCAGCTGCCCTCAAGATTTCCTAGGTCATAGAAGACATTAGACTTAGGTCCTAGTCAGGCTGTTTTTGTGCAGGAGAGGATAATATTTATTTTTCCTTTAATTTACAAACTGCCACACTTCTCCAGACCTGGGGAAATCATTACATTGTTTTTGATGACCCGATGTTGCTTCCTAACTGAAAGGCACTAGATCACCAAAGTTCTGTACTGAAGAGAATGATGATCAGTTCATTACAATACTGGTGGAATAAAAAGAAATGCTTGTTAATTATGGTATATATACTTACTACAGGATTTAGTGTTCAAGTAAATGTTAAATACATTAGGATTCCAGAATGCTAGGTTCAATATATGGGCACTGCACTTTCCCATCTTCCCTGTTTTGAAAAAATACAGGTTATCATGCTCCTCATCCATATGTTTTTCTATTTTGTAGGGACATTCCTGTAGATTTCAAGTACATAGCAGAGCCAAGTATGCATTCAATGCCAGCAGTGACCTTGTCTCCAAATGGTAAGCTAACATTTTTATCTGCCTAGGATAGAAAGAAAGCTTTGATACTTAAGATATGAGTGTTCCACAGAATAGCCAGACTGTCTGACTTAATGCATTGCCACATCAATGTACTTTATTACTATCCTGTCAAGCACTAAATAACGTATATAGAACTACTCTTCTTCATTGCTCAGATTGTGTTCTCATACAATACACAACCTGGACTTTCTTAAATTTATAAACCACCATCAGCTTTTGTTTTTCCCAGTCTCTTTTACTACAACATTTCCTCGTATTTTGAAGTGTGTAAATGTTATACTGTCTAACAATATATAACTGTCAAAAGCAGCAAAGTGTATTTGGAGGTAAAGTGAATAGAACGGGCTGGGACTCTTAGCATGCCCAGTAAGTAGGCTCTCTGATGCACTTTCCCCATTGTCTTTGCTAGCCAGTCCTGTCTATCACGTGTGATCGCTTCCCTCGTTCTTTTCCCGGAATACCAGTAATCCTGCTCATTATCAACCTTCCTTTCCTCCAAAGTAGCTTTTCCCTCTCAATTGTCAGATATTTTTACTATGTGCAAGCAATTTCTAAAATATTTTAAGTTGTTGAATATGATCTAAAAGTCACTGATGGTCTTCAAGAATAATGAGCATCATTTAATCTCAGGAATTTATTTTATGGAAACGGATATTTACATTTTTTTTTACCTGAACAGGAAAATGGTTGGCTTGTCAATCAATGGACAATCAGATTCTGATTTTTGGAGCGCAAAACAGATTCCGACTAAATAAAAAGAAAATCTTCAAGGGTCATATGGTGGCAGGTTATGCTTGTCAAGTAGATTTTTCACCTGATATGAGGTATGCATTAATAGTTTATCAGCTCTTTTGTGGGTGTTTATTCCCATTTTGATTTTAAAGCCATTGGCTGATCTCTAGCCGATTTAGAAAAATTCAAGCCTTCTTTGAAAGCTCTTCATATGGGCAACTGCCTGTAACTCTCCTGCAAGGCAGTACAGCAATTGTTTGGTGTGGATAATGTTCATACATGCCTGCACAAATACAAAAGGGGGATACATCCCTTGTAGCAAGTGTCTGCCTTCATTGGCTACATAGGCAGTTCCCAATCCCAGACTGGAACCATGCGTGCAGTGCTGAGCAGGTGCTTTGTGGAGCAGATGATCTCTCTGGAGGTGTTCGGCCCTCCTCCTCGCACTGAGCATCCTAACCCTGCTGCCACCGTTGACCACAGCCAGTTGCGCACTAATGCCTGCAGCAGCGTGTAGGCAGCCCACTCCTGAAAAGCTAATTGTGATTAACGTAATGCATCACCGGATAAAAGAAGTCGCCCTGGCCAGATAAATAAGCAAATATTGTTAACAATTAAAATGACGCTTAAATAAAAAGGTCTTCGCCTGGTGCCTAAAAACAAATAACGACGGCGCCAGGCGAAGACCTTTTATTTAAGCGTCATTTTAATTGTTAACAATATTTGCTTATTTATCTGGCCAGGGCGACTTCTTTTATATTGTTATTTATTTTATATTGCTAATTTTATATTGTTATTTTTGTATTTTATTGTATTTTATTTTGTGTTGTGAGCCGCCTCGAGGCTTCGGCAAGGGGCGGCATAGAAATGTTTAAATAAATAAATAAATAAATAAATAAGCACAGTAAGACTGTGTAGTAATATAAAATGTTAGCCCTATTTCTGGAACTGCTGCAGTTCATTTTCATTTCTGTATTGAAATTGTTTCGCGTTTGGCATAGTAGCACTAACTTTTGCAACATTGTTTTTTAAATAGCTATGTGATATCTGGTGATGCTGATGGAAAGCTGAATATCTGGGACTGGAAGACAACAAAGCTTTATAGTAGAGTAAAAGCACACGACAAAGTATGTATAGGTGCAGTTTGGCACCCACACGAAACATCCAAGGTGATCACTTGTGGATGGGATGGTCTCATTAAACTATGGGACTAACGATTCTAAATCCGAAATTGGTTGGTGAATAAAGGAGATTTCAGAACAGAATGCAGTGGAAATGGTTTGAAATTAGAATATTAGCATGGTTATTTTCAGTATTTTTAGTGTGCACACGCCATATTGGAAGTTCAAAAGACTTGGTCTGAAAGATTTTCAACTGCAAGTTATGAGGAGCTGAAAATGACTCTTGAGTTGACTGAAAGTTCGAGCTTGTTCATAAGCCTATTTCAAAAAAGCTAAATGGATACATTTGTATAGTTTTGTGATTATGAAAAAGAACCAGAAATATCACAAGCTCTGCTCTGCAAGTGTGCAACTGGGAAGAAAAAAGGTGTTTTCATTCTGATATAACATGATGATGCACCTGTTATTAAAAAAACTATTTGGGAATATTCTCCAAATAAATAGGATATTTCTGGGATTATGTATGTATATATAGAATAGGCATTGCTACTCAAACTTGTATTTTATTTAATAAAATTGTTAGTTATATTGCAGTACATACATACACAAAGATTTCACGTGCACAACTGCAGTTTGCAGCTCCAGTTTCGATTTTCTGTGCGGGAAAAACCCCTCGTCACCCTACCCCAAATTCATGAGCCATGTTTCAAGATAGGGTGAAGGTCCTGACAAAAACATCTGTAGAGAATGTCCATCTGTTGCTGTACCTGAGGAGTCCCTCAGTCTTCCCATCTTGGAAGAGGAGGAAGAAAATGTCCCAGGGCAGTTTCCTCCCCAACCATCCTTCTTGTGGAGCAGATGGGTAGAGTTAACCCATAAATCGTGGATGTGGGGTACCTGTTCATTTTTATTTGTCTTTATATCATGTCTGCTTTTTCTGATCTATCAGGCTACCATCCTTATTCTAGATGTGCTGTTATAAAACAATCCAAAGAATATAATTTTTATTTATTATTGGTGTCAAACGTAATAAATATTTAACAAGTAATTAATAAATACTGTTTCAGCAGATACCCCATTCACCCAGTTGGGTTTGGACAGGGGCAGCAATAAAGTCTGTCTACTGCTTTCATTAATATAGATCAAAGAAGGTATAACTGGAAGCAAACTGCAGATTCATTATCACTTCATCACCCAACTCTTGTAAATGGGCACTTTAATATCTATGTTTATTTTACGAGATTGTGTTTTTGTGCTAAACTTCTGTACATATGTTTCAATCCTTTTTTACAGATCTTATTTTTAATAAATGTTTTTATGTAAAGACAAGTTTTCAAATTCTCTAGTATTGTCCAAAGTCTACTTTTTGAAATATTTATTTGGCGCAGAAGTTTTAACTACCTAGTTCTCCACAGTGCCAAAGTGTGAATTTATTATATTAAAATATAATGGAAGAACTCTTTGTAATGGATATACCTGGAGTGTTTATAGCAGCCTAGGGTTGTTTTATACATTATACTTAATATTTACAAATATATTATTTTCAGTTAATAGCTATATGACTGTTCTTCCATTCTGGATACCTATGTCAAGAACTTACTACTTCAGTTATGTACTTCCACAAAAAAGATACTCGTGTATCCAGTCACCTATTACTAGTATCTTTCTCCTAAGGGCAACAATAGACATGATTTCTTGTTGTTCTATCACATCCAGAAACACCCATGGAATGTAACATTCATCCTACGACTCCCCAAGTGGTTACTGGGGAGATGTGTCCAGGTATCTCTGTACTTTTTAGGGAGGCATTTAAAGTAAGAGAATAATTTAGAAGCCAATCCCCTGTAGTGCTGTGCACATGGTAAACTGCACAGATCCTGCAGGTACAGATATGGTGCCCAAGTGTATTGTCTGCTGCCACATAATATTTATGTGGAAGCCATGAGTCATACCTGTTCTTGAATGTGGTCATGTGCCAAATGGATCCATTTTCCATATTATGGGAAAACTGTGAAGCAGTTATAGTTTGCTTTAAAGTTGCTTTAAATCTTGGTCTAAAACATGTTAAACCAATCTCATATTCCAGCACCTTTATCCTAACTGGACTTTTCCAACCCCTACCCCCACATAGTGCTTATGAGCAGTATATCTGAAAAGGAAGAAATAAGAGGAAAACATTCATCCCAATTCAGTTCATTTATATTAAAAAATATATTTACATGTTAGTGGTTGTTGATGTTTTGCCTAAAGGCTGAGAACAGTTTATATAGACAAACAGTGTCAGTTCCTTCAAAACTATAAACATTATGCTTAGATGATCAGAAGTAGCAGTTTGTAAAAATACACACAAATCCATCTCCTCTACATTTGGATGACAACACTCATGGGCTTAAACTATTGTGCCTACCTCTTTTTGTGAAATACCACAAAATATCAGTGCGAGACAATGCGCAATGTAATGGGATGAGAATACAGAAAAAGTTGTACTAGATCAAGGGTGGGTAACCTGCAACCTTCCACATACTGCCAAACAGTCACTCTCATCAGCTCAGCCGATTATCTGAGTTGCAGGCCAGCCACATTTACCTGCAGTTGCTCACACCTGACTAAACAGTATGGACAAAGAGGTAGAAAATAGCATCAGGGCTGACACTTTCAGCAGCAGCCTTAAGCTAACACTCACTTCCACCCTGAGCCTAATCAGCTTTGTCATCTTCTTTTGTTAGGGTCTCTGTTCAGTTCCAATGAATCAGTGGAGTGCCCAGAATTCCATTAGTATAAGTCCGTACCTATATTTTCCATAATAATCTACAGTAGACAAGATGGTTAGATTCACTTTGCATTATGACAGTCTGATCATGCTTCTTGAATATTTAAAATGCATTTTGCAGGATTTCAACCTAGAACTGACAATAAACTTATTGGCTACAACTAAAATGGAATTGGCCTTAAAATAAAACATAATTTAAGGCAAAACAGTGCATGCTTGGATTTTGGCTCAGAACTAAGAAGATTAAATTGACAAAAAGTTAAGCTGAAAAATATTCAGCACCCGATATTTAATAATGTTAATGTTAAGTAGTCCATGTTCAACTCTGGAAGTACTCTAGGCTATTTTGAATCCTGATTTTTAAAAATATTGCTTAACATTTCTCTGTAACAACAATTAAAGGTCTACATTTATTTCCTTATCCCCTCAGCAGCTGTAAGAGCTGCATTGCAGTAGCCTTACCTTCTGGAATAGCAAATTTGCAGAAGACAGGCACTGGGAGAAAAACAACCTACTTTACTATTGGGAGACAAATAGCATAGGCAAGAAACAGTGATTTCAGAATTTGCTGTATTTGCTAAATGGGGCTTTAAAGGTAGGGTAAAGCAATGCACACATATCCACATCAGCCATTTCACACAAACATGGGGTTATACTATACAACAGCAAGCAGAAACAACATGAGCAGGAAAATGTACGAGGGGCATTCAATGTATTCTTGGTATCAGCATGAAGAAAAAGGAATTATAAATTGAAATAATTTTTATTTTTCAATGTAATCCCCCATAACTTCAATGCACTTATCACATCTAGAAATTAATTCGGGAATAGGTAGTAGTCACTAGGGACCAGGTCCGGGCTACAGGGTGGGTGGTTTATGTCTTCAAAACCACAGTCTCATGCAGCAGCCTTTGAAATATGCGCCGTGTGAACAGGCGTGTTGTTGTGAAGAAGCAACACACCTGCGGTCAGTTTTCCCCACCTTTTTTCTTTAATTGCTTCTCTTAAATTATGCAAAGTGGTTGCGTAAGATGCTGCATTTTTGGTTTCACCTTTTTTCATGTACTCAATCAATAAAATCCCCTTTGAGTCCCAAAACACTGTGGCCATGATTTTTCCAGCCGATGGGGTGACTTTGAATTTCTTCAGAGGGTCAGCACCTTTTTTATGCCATTGCATGGACTCCTGCTTACTTTCAGGGTCATACTGATGAACCCAAGTTTCATCTCCAGTAACAATCCGGTCGAAAATACTTAACGGATCTTCACCAGAGAGCTCTAAAAGCTCCCTACAGCACTTGACTTGCACTTGTTTCTGAGGCGCCATGAGCATTTGCAGCACCCATCTTGCACAGACCTTTGAAAGGTTAAGATGGTCATGAAAAATAGTAAATATGATACCAACAGATAGGTTTGTCATCTCTGCTAACATTTTGATTTTTATTCGGGCATCTTCCAATACAAGTTTCTCAATTTTTTTCACATTTTCTTTCGTAGTGGCAGTAACCGACCCGCCTGAGCAAGGGTCATCTTCAATGCTTTCTCTGCCCCTTTTAAATTGACTTGACCACTTTTGAACAGTAGATAATGAAGGTGCAGAGTCCTGGTAAACAGCCACTATCTCTTAGTGAATGATTTTTTTTACTTTTTCCTTTTTTTGTAAGGAGCTTAATCACAGTGCGGTGCTCGATTTTCCTCAACATTGTTGCGTCAGTCATCATGGTCGTCTTTCATTGAGGATTACTAGGGAACTAATGATCACACTTATTTGAAATTTTGCATGTATACCCTCAGTGTCATTAGCTAATGAAATAATTAAATTACCCACATCAATAGCAAATCAACCCGTTACCGAGAATACATTGAACGCCGAGCCAAGGAAGAAGCATGTTGAGAAAGAGCTGTGAACTCCAGTAAAGCAAGAAAACTGTATAAATGTAAAGAAATAACCATACTGGGGCCAACAAGCAAAAAACAGAAATCAAGAAATGAAAGAGGTTGGGAGCCATTTAAAATGAGGATGGTATCTTGTACACAACAAAATCCAGAAATGTTTAGTCCCAGCATGAATGTACAAGAAAGTTTAATATTGTAAGCTAGTTTGTGTTACGTGTTTTTTGTAAGTTCATGAAGAAACAACTTACATTCATACATTTTTCCTCACAATCATGAGACAAATTTGAATAGGCATGGTCCACAGCTATGTGCATAAATGATGCAAGCAGCATATTTTAATTCAGACTTCTCCTTCTAGGAGATGAAAGTTGTACCTTTCCACATTGCAGAACAATGCCAGGAGACAGTAGGAGTGCTAGGCAGCTTCTGCCTGTTGACTAACTTCTGCCTCCAAAGTCGCCTTCAATGATACGGCTGAAGGGGGTGATTCACAGTTCATTGTGTAGGCTCCCAGATGCCCTCTATCTCCATCGTGTATTCACCCAGCTCAGAATGTAACAGCTGCTTGCATTGAAGGCCTCCCTTTTCAGAAACATCTGTGGTTTCGATAAGTCTTTGTATGTGTGAAAAAGCCTGAAGTCCTTCAGTTCTAATTCTTTGAGAAGACTGTACCAGTACCGAACCACAGTGCTGTCATTGCCACTTACCTCAAACCCAGGCCAATGGACGTGGATTTCAAACACCAGTTGCCCTATTTGTTCCACAACATCCTCCAAGATGAGGTTTTCCAAAATTTTCCACTCTGCACTTTCCATATCTGCTTTGAGGATATCTATCTGCATGAGAGGAACATGTGGAAGTCAAGCTGACAACAATGTAAATTAACTCCCATGTGTAAGAACTGTATACTTAAAACACATTTGAAGAATAGATCCATCCCACTTATAGTACTGGTGAGCCAGGTAACCCCCATTTTGTAACTATGCATTTGGTGTCTTTTTCCTAGGTGCAGACCTTGACATTTGTCCCTATTAAATTTCATTCTGTTGTTCTCAGTCCAGCACTTCAACCTATCAAGATCGCTTGATTTTGTTTTGGTATTCCAGCATATCAACTATCCCAGACAGTTTTGTGCCATCTGCAAACATAAACATTCCCTGCACTTCCTCACCCTACTCATGAATAAAAAAGCTGAAAAGCACTGGGCCCAGGACCGAGCCCTGTGGTATCACACTCATCTCTCCCCAGCTTGAGAAGGTGCCACTGATAAGCTGAGTGCATGTCACACTGCTATCCTCCTCTACTCATCAGCAGAACAACCCGGTGATGCCAGCCATTGTATTCTCATTTTAAGCAGGGAAAACAAAGGGAAGGCAATCGCCACAGGCTGTTCTGTAAGCCAATATACCACAAATTATCTATTCTACTACAGCCAGTGTACTATGAAGGTTCCCTTTCAAACAATGCCCAAATGATTGGCGCACAAGCCTATGCCTTGTGTCCTCAATACATGCAACCTTCCCAGCTCGGAGTGTATGTGTTTTCAGGGTGCAGGGCTTATGTGCATCCTATAAGCTGTGCACAATAAGGCACAGTGTTGTGACTTCTGCTACAGCCATGCTTGTGCCAGGTATGTTTCTCGAGATAGCCATTTCTGACCATCTAGATAAAATGCCACGGAGGAGAAGGGAAGGAATAGGCATAAGTCTTCAACCCCAGCCTTCCCACTGCCCCCAAGAGCCCCTCCTGGGGGGGGGGAGCCAGTTCTTTCCATGGCAGCTACATGGGGGCAGGACGGGCTGCAGGATATAGCAGCTAGGACTCAAATAAGGAGAGAGAAGGAAGGTCTCCAAAGCATCACCAGAGAGAAAGGAAGCAAAAGGATAGAGAGGAAGGCCCCCAAAGAGAAAGAGGGAGACCTTCCTGACCCACTTTCATGGGAGTCCTGTACCCCTACAGCCCCATGAATGTGGAGGACTGACTATATGTGAGCTGACTTGCATACAAGTTCAACTTAAAGACAAATTTTTATTTTCTCAGGAACAGAACTTATTCATAACCCAGGGTCTGCCTGTACCCAGAATGGGGCACAATGGTAGCAATCTCTGGTGTTGTACCTTGCACCAGGTATTTTATCTAGATGCTCCTAGAAAAAGTGGCAGGGAGGGTAGAGGAAAGAGGCCAGGACACTGATCTGGATCAGTATCCATTTTCAGCCCCCTCTCCTTCCCCCAGTATTCCATTTTTCACCCTCTGAGTCCCAGATGCAGCCTGGTGGGGAAGAGACAGTCCACACAGTTCTATCTGCACTGTGAGATGGGCAGGACCAATCCTATGAACTCCCAGATGATGTCCAAAGCCCCCTAAAATAATGTAAATCAATAAGCAGGGATTTATTTTAAGATTCACCACCACCATACAATGCGCATTTGATCTGTGGAACTTGCTGCTTCTAAATTCAGTAATAACAAACTACAACTCAGGTCCAGAACAACATTTGCAAGTTGTCCACAGTGAACATAATGAGTGTAGCTGCCCTAAGAATAGGCTGGAGAAAAAGAAGGACAATAAACTGGCCAAGATCTTGTCAGAAGAGTTTTCTCAGCTGCTTTGCTGCTCTCGCTGTGACTTGGCTGAGCAAAGCACTGTCTGTCATGAGCACTAAATTAGTTGCAAAATTTAAATACATCAGTTGTTGCCTGACAGTTCCATAGGTTTAAACAACCTAGATAGTTTTAAGAAAGAAGGACCACTATTTTTTTTCATTCTGAAACTTTGTTTTGCCATAGTCCCAACTAGCAAAAGAAAAGATCAGTATCTTGAACCAAAATCTAAGGCTTCATAAAGAGGAATCTGAAAAGCAAATTTCATACAGCATCTAACTGCAAAGAAAATGATCTCAAATATGTGGCTGGGGTTTCTCCTCTAGCTACTATTTCCTCCACCCAGACTACATTTCCTTTATCCTCAATTCATTTCATACCTATTACAATAAACAAGCCAGTAATGACTAAGGATCTGATAAAAACCAAGGCGGAGTAATTTTTATTCTTGCTTGTTTCAATAGGAGATACCCAAATGTGCATCTGGCCACCCCAAAGTGAAATTGAGTGCCTTTAACTTCAGTTGGAACATGACCTTCAAGAAACAGTCGGCAGAAGAAGTGACAAACAAGTAATGACAAAGGGATGCCACCCAGAAAGAAGGCCACACATCCTCCAGCCTAATGAGCTGCCATTAACTATACCAGCATGGCACATTTCACTTTATCTTTATCCTGAGATCAGGCAAGGATACTTGAAAGGATTAATATGATGAGAGGCTACCTTTTAAAAGAGCACTAGAGCATTCCTCTGGGACTGGCTGTCAGACAGCTGAAAAGCATTCAGTCCCTGCTAAAGAAGAAGTACAAACACATTTACAAGGGAGTATACGACACAGGATGTTTATCACTGCAGGACAGCTGCAGCAAATTCTCTCATCACAAACAAGCAGCCACAGGAAAATCTCTCACTCTCTCTATTTTTTTTTTCCTTCTCCCATTTTCGGAAAGAGTTTTTATAGAAGTTTTCTTATTGTGTGTAAAGGGAATTTTCTCATAGTTATTTTTGCATTACATTTATATCCTGCCTTTCTTCCTCTTACAAAGAACTCAAGGTGGCTTACAAGGTTTTCTTCCTCTCCATTTTATCCTCACAACATCAACCTTGTGAGGCTGGTTAGAGACTGAGAGTACATGACTGGCTTAAACTCACCCAGTGAGTTCCATGGCTGAGTTTGCTAGAATCCAGATCCATCACTGCACCTACGTCACATCGGCTCTCAAACTGGATGGCTTGTGAGTATTTATGCCAGGCAGGCAGGCAGGCAGGCAGGCAGGCAGGCAGGCAGGCAGGCAGGCAGGCAGGCAGGCAGGCAGGCAGGCAGGCAGGCAGGCAGGCATTCATTCATTCATTCATTCATTCATTCATTCATTCATTCATTTAAACTATTTCTATGCCGCCCCATTCGCAAAAAGCCTCGGGGCAGCTTACAACATAAACAAACAATTATATAATTAGCCTTAATTAATCCGGAAACATCTTGGCACATACATAAAAACCCAATATATACAATCAATAAATTAACAATTAAAATAACTTTTAAAGAAAAAGGTCTTGGCCTGGCACCAAAAAACAAATAACGACAGCACCAGGCGGACCTCTCTGGGGAGCACATTCCATAGATTGGGTGCCACCGCAGAGAAGGCCCTCCTCCGGGTACTCACCCTCCTAATATCTTTCACAGAGGGTTCCTGGAGAAGGGCCTTTGCTGCCAATCTCAAGGGGCGGGAGGGCATATATGGACGCAAGCACTCCTTTAGATAACCAGGTCCCAAGCCGTTGAGGGCTTTATAGGTGATAACCAACACCTTGAATTGGGCCCGGACTTCAATGGGAAGCCAGTGAAGCTGATGGAGGACTGGGGTTATATGAGAACAACGCCCAGTCCCCATCAGCAACCTGGCAGCTCTGTTTTGCACCAATTGAAGTATCC